CACCCCCCCACCCAAACCCCCCCCCCCCCCCCTCTCTCTTCCCCCCTTTGTTATCACCAAGTTTTAAATGAAGGTATCCATCAAGATTGCCATGTTGAAAGCGAAGAGTTTGAATAGAATCTGACCTTTCTTCGGAGAATTATGGGAATGTGAAGGCACTCTCGAACACTGATTAGGAAGCTGAGGATCATCTATGCCAACCCCCCTTATGCCACTGGTTTGAGAAGATGCATCTTTTTCTTGAGTACTTGAGCATACAATTTCAGAGCAAGGTACTCTTTTTACTTCTTGACAAATATTTTTTTTCTTTGAATTAGCTCTAAGATGTCGGTGTTCTAAAGCAACTGAAGGGGCAATTTTTGATACTTTGAGCTGACCCTTTTTAGCCTGCTTGGCTATCTTAGCCTGACAAGCAACAGAATTAAAGAAGAAAAATTAAGATTCTAGATTTAGGGAAAAAAAGAAACGAATTCATGACAGATGGGGTCTAATTTTCAGGAAATGCAGCAATGTAGTAGACATTTTCACGTGAGCAAGAAACCATATCCTGTTCATTTAGCCCCTTATATTATAATCATGAAAGAGAAGTAGGTCTAATTTTTCATTTGCTAAGCCAAATTTTGTCTTCAACATGCCTTTTTTTTTTTTTTTCCTTTGCAGCATACAAGATCGTTTTAGTACACAAGAAGGTCCGGAATAGACATTAGCAATGCACAAAAGGACAGCACATCCACCTGAATTTTAGTTGCACTGAAGCAACTCGTATACGAACTCTCACAGCAAACATTTGTGACATCCTGAAGCACTGCTCTCCTCTTACGTTGATTACCTGCATTATCAGGTCCACTAGTGTTGTTCTCATCCAAGGCTGCTCTTTTTGGATTTGCTCGCAAAATCCTTTTTTGGTCTTGTTTTGAGGATGCCTTTAATGGTGGCATCTTCCCAGAAGCACGCAAGGCAGCTGCTCGTGTTATTGGACCATTAAGTTGCCTAAAATTAGAAGGAAGTATGTTTTCCTTCTTCATATTTACAAGCCGTAGATAAGAACAGCACAAAGCATTAAACAGAAAGTCGGCAAGTAACCTGCAATAAAATGACCAAATCAGCACAGTCATCAAGATATTCTAAGCCAAGAAACTCTACATGTTGAGGCATCACTTAGATAATCTAGAAATTATGAGCCATAACTTATAAGCAATGGGAATGCACTTCAGAAGAATAAGGGATATTTGCTCCAAACGAGACATCAAAGGATAACCCCACTCGCCACTTTTACTATAGGCTCATTAGAATTTGCATCAAAATTATCTACAAATCAGGAAATTTCCCTCAAATAGATACCATCGTCAAGAAACAAAACCTGCTATTTTGTGTGCATTTCTGAATAAAAAGAAAGAAAATAGACTCTGGCATAATTTTTTATAATGCGCATCTGAGCAATTCATCAAACATAAACCGAATTGCCAAATCACACAAAAAGATCATAAAACCTTTAGATCTACACAGATCAAGTAGACAAAAAGAAGTCCGACTCCAGTTGCATGGAGAAATATTGTGTGAAAAGATCATTAACAATTCAAATTTCATGGATATGTATCTGGAGTTCAAGTTGAAAATTCTCAATGTACCCAAAAGTTCTATCTTCTTGAGAAAAACTTGCCCTAAAAAAGATTGAGACTGCAATGACCAAGATACAGAATCAACAAAATTCACATACATTACTTAATTATGGGGTATAAATCTTATACATTACTTAATAATGGGGATATAAATCTTAGTGGAAACCATGAAAATAAAGGCAAAGCGTTCTTTCCTTGAAAAATCTTGAATCCCAAGATTCTACCAAGCAAGCTGGTATCTGAATCCAAATTCCAAGATTTTGAATCCGAATTTCAAGACTCCAACTTGTAACACACAAACAAGAAACAAATAAACCTTATGTTTCCAAAAATAAAATTCTGAATCTCATTGTCTTCTCTTTCCTGTTCTTAATTTATTTTGGACACCTTGGCCATTTCCAAAAATAAATACAATTCCTAATAAAAGATATCAACTTCTTCTTCTATAAATTTACCTACAAGAAAACACTCAAATTTCTTTCACTTCTCCAGACTTCCTAAGAAAAAAAAAAAGCAGAGGATGTAAGAGAGCAATGAAGAAGAACTGCATGTCCAAAAACCTTCAAAATTTCACAAATTGCAAATAACCCATTAAACCCGTATCGATCTAGCAAACCAAAAACCAGATAATCGCCAAAAACCCGAAGAACACAGAAAAAGACTAAACACGCCGGTAACAATCATATGCATCGTGGTGAAAATGTAAGCTTACAAACTCACAAATGTGAATGTATAGATTAAAAAGGAAGAGACCTGCAGTTGTGTGCTATATCGTCACAAAGCAAAGGATGGAAGAGAGCAATGAAGAAGAACTGAAGAAGTCAGGGCGGGACAGTGGTGGTTTAAAAAACATGAGAAATGGCATTCTAGTTACTCCGAGATGATGTAATATTTTAATGTTGTTAACTCTTAAACAACTGTTCATTTATTACCTCCAAAAAATATCAACAAGACATCGTTATTATTTGACTGAAAAAGTAAAGTCCGAGAATTGTTGATTTTAATTTGACTGGATTATGAGAAATTCCTTTTAAGAATTTAATTAGCTGACCTTTTGAGATTCTGAATTTAATTTGTCAATTACTTGATTGTAATTTGAAATTAATGTGTTTTCATTATTTACAATCTAAGGCTAGACACGGAATAACAACATATTGATTGATTGATGATGATGATTTCGATTTTCTTAGCTGTGTCTTCCAACAGAGAACAGCGGTGGGTGGTGATAATAATAGCATGAATTTTTTAAAATAATGGTGAAAAGGCAAGACTGTTTTCGGAGCCGTTGAAAGATATTTGTCTAAAAAAGCGAAGCTAAAATGCACTTGCATTTTAAATTATGTAAGAGAGAAAAAGCAGCACATAAATTACTGTATAAACTCACTCCATAAGCTGTTCTAACCCTAGGGTTTTCTTCTTTCTGGCAAATAGAGGTGAAATTGTTTGAAAACACAACCGAATCCAATTCTTGTTTGTAGGAAAATACCAACAATTTGATTGAACATTTTGAGAATAAAAAGTCCTGATTCTCGAATTAGAAGGCACAGTAGTAATGTTTACAATTCTTATAGAATTATGTTACTTTCATTTAGGAGAAATTAAGAATAAAAATAATAAACAATCATGTTGTTATTGTCATAATTTGATATGTAATTTCTTAAATAACGAGACAATGGTGTCTATCAAAGATTTATTCATTTAGGAGAAATTAAGAATAAAAATTATTAATGATTATTTTGTTAATTTGAGATGTAATTTCTTAAATAACGGAACAATGGTGTTTTTTGAATATCCAATTCTAATTTAGTTATTATAATAGTTTTTGTATCTGAGATTTAAAAAATTAGGTGTTATTTTCAAGGTATAATTTGATATGTAATTTCTTCTTTTTTTTTAATAATGGAATAATGGTATTTATCAAGTATCCAATTTTAATTTAGTGTGTGATATGCATGGTAATAGCTTTTATGATTGATATCTAAAATATTAGATTTTTAAAATAATAATTTTAATTACAGTTTAAAAAATAAATGTTTTAAAATATATATTTAGTTAAAACTATTGTGTTATGAGTTTTTATATGCAAAATAAATAAAAAAAATATATCTTTATAAATAAAAAATAAATTATTTTAACTTTCACAAATTAAAATTTAAAATGTAATTTTATATGAGATACAGTTTGAAAAAAATAGAAACTATTTGACAAATCAAACTTTTTTTTTTATGATTGAGAGATTGTTTGGCATTACATTTATATCCAGCTTAAGTGTTTTAATGTTCTCTAATTATTTTAATATATTAATTTTAAAAATAAAAAATATTTTTAAAAATATATTTTGCCACGATGCAAAAGCACCCAAATATGATGATATTACATTTCTACCTGTGTTTGAATGATTTAATATTTTTTGATTATTTTAATATCCTTATATATATATAGATATATATAACATAAAAGGAAGCGTCGAGGGAAGGAGCTGGATCGATCAAACTCGAGTGATTCAAAATTTGAAATGGCAACGGGAGTTTTTATTACAAACAAACACGTGAACAACCAGCTTTATGCATTATTAATTAATGTCTTCAGCGTGAGCTGTCCCCCACATGATGGGTGACAAACCTTTGACGTTAAACCCTTTGGGACTTTTAATTAAAAGCTCACTCCCATGTCCCATTCCTTTAAACTGATTCGGGAGTTTATCAATTATACGCATCTTTTTTTTCAGAAAAAAATATAGTAATTTCATTAATACAAATAAACTATTTTTTTATATATATTCATAGAAATTATTTGTTATTTGAATGATTTTCAAGACAATAATTAGAATCCTTTTAATTATTTAAACGATGAAAAAATCCTTTAAAATTCTTTAATTGTGGCTCTCTATGTAAAAAATGATTACACGATGGATCGCATTACTACATCTCAGTTGAGATAATATTACCTTATTCATAAAAAAATAAAATAAAAAAGAGATTAGGTTCATATAGATTTATATATAAAAAATCTAGATCTATATATAGACACAAAATAAAAAAAATACTAAAACAATAATGATTAAGAAAAAGGGATGTGATGACTGTTCCAGAAGAGAATACGTTTTATATTTGTAGTCACTTCCATGGCAACTCAAGGATTATGAGCTTCCACGCTCACAAAAAAGGTAAATCGAGCCACTTGAAAAAACTGTAGCCGCCATGATTGCACGGCCATTGAATTGTGATAGTCGTCGTCGGATCCGTCACAGATTAGGGTTTTCAGGTAAAGAAGAGGAGGGAGTTTTTCAAGTATGAGAATCAAACTCCAAATCTGATGAGTTAAATATACTCTTCTTAATTATCACTCTCGATTTGCAATCATTGGTTATGATCATTTGCCAAGTGTTTAAATACATTCATACATAAATTATTTAACAAAACATTTTTTACATGTACAAGGAATACACTTGATTTGACAAAATTTAAAAAAGTTTATTGTAAAAAAAATAAAATTGATGCACTTGATTGATAGAATCAATAAAGTCCAAACACCACTCATGTGATTAACAACTTCAAATCTATCTTCAAACTTTAAATACTATGCATTTTTTCCCGGTCACTAATTTCAATTACTTTATTTTTATATTTAGATGGTATTTAACATTGCAATTCAATCATATTTTTTAAAAAAGAATATTTTTTAGTTTTAAATATTATTTTTATATTTTTGTACAGTTTTATGTTTTTATGTTAAAAATATTTTTTAAAAAAATATTATTTTAATATATTTTCAAAAAAATATTTTAATTTTTTTTTATTACATTCTCAAACATTTAATATGGATACTTATTTGAGATAATACATACAATAATATTCATGAATGTATGTTGGTATGCAAGGGGAGTATATAGTAAATAATGACGAGATGGGAGCATATAGTCTCAATCATAAAAATAATATGAGTATATTTTTTATTGAATTTTGTGACAGTTAAAATAAAATTTAGTAAGAAATCCAATGCCTTAAATCATGGAGAGAGAAAATATTTTTAGTTAAAAAAAAATTTTTATTCATGTATTTCTTTTTTACTTTGAAAAAAAAAACATGTCTCATTATCAGCAACATGATTTTTTAAATAAGAACTTCATGAAAACAATTATAATAAATTGTGTAGTTCAATTTTTATACCAGCATAATATATTGTATGCACGTTATAAGCAGAATAATAGTAATAGTATAATAAAATGAATTAACTTAGCATGCTCATAAACTAATTTTCTAAAATCCTTCACATGAATGAAGATTATATAATTAATATACGAAAACCTAAAGATTAATAGAAAGAAAATGAATTGATAGATAGTTAGTTTTTTTTTAAAAACTCTTTTTAGTGAATTAATGTTAGATTTATTTGGCTAATTAGTAATTAGTAAATGTGATGTAAATTCAACCTTTCATGAAAACCAAGAAAATACCACTCATTTATTTCTCTTCTTAGATTTTTTTTCTTTGTTTTTTCATGATTATTTTTACTTTAGCCATGAATAACACGACCAAAAGATTGATATATTCTTCTAAATATAGGAGTGTCAAAGTAATAAATAACCTGACAAGACCGGGGTCGAACCATAGAAAGGTTAACTATATAAATCATAAATAACAACAACAACAATAATAAGTTAAAGAGGACTTTGAGATTGTAAGATTAATATGAGAATCAAACAATAATAAAAATAAATATTAAAGTTAGAGGATCCACTGATAGTATTTCAACTAGAAACCACACAAAAAGAACGTTCCAATCGGATTATAAATTGTTAACATGATTGCATTAGTTATCTTATTCGAATAATGTTAATACTTGTAAATGTTATTAGGTATTCATGATTATAACTTATGTTAACAACAAATCAGATTCCTTTTATAACACAGGTGTAGGTTATACCATACAGTTGGGCTATGAAAGGTATTTGTTGTATCAAATATTATACAAAATAAATTTAGATTAACCATTTAATAAGCAAAGTATTAAAAGTGAATAAGATAACAATACAAAATATGTTAGTATCAAACATTAAAGTCCATATTAAGTTTACACTAC